AATGGCCACATGATTTACATTCAGGAATTTGTAGTCAATGAGATAAAACAAAAGGTGCATAAATTGTTGAATGTAAAACTGATGATAAATAAAGTTCTCATTTTTTTTTTTTAAAGAATACTGCATTGAAGATTTTGTGTACTTCGTAATATATCCTTCTTAATACAGTCCATAGAAGATGTGTCTTTGAGTCTATTCCTAGTAAACCCGTTGCCATGGCAACTCCGTGTGTCAGAGAAGAACTGTGCTCTGTGGGGTTCTTAATGGCTGATGTTTTAGAGGTAGTTTGCCAGGCCTTTCTCACGAGGTAATTCTGGTTGGACTCTAACCTCCAACCTTTTGATCAGTTCATTAACACTTTGCACCCCCCAGGAATTTCCTCTTCTGGTGTGGTGCTGTGGGTCAATGCGCTAGACTGCAAAGTTGGTTTGAACTGCAAGGTTGGTGGGTGGTTCAAGCTCACCAGTCACTCCATGGAAACCGTCTGCAGGTTCGCTATGGGTCAGAACCAACTCAACAGCACTTAACAACATGAGGAATGCTAAGCTTGATTACTTTGTAAAAGCTATGTCTTCATCTCTACATTGTAATAGTCCACTTCTCCCTTGGTAACTGGTAAATAATCTGTGGGATGATCCCGTGAGGCCACATGAGGTAAATGGTAAATAATCTGTGGGATGATCCTGTGAGGCCACATGAACAACTTGTTTCCTAAAACCTTTCACATAATCCGTCCTGAGTCTACTTATTGTTACATTGTTGTGCTGATGGTTAGTTGCCATCAATTGGCACTTAAATAATAGAGCAAAACATTCAGTCTGTGCTACTTTATGATCAGTGTAGGGTTGAGTCCATTGTTTTATTGTTTCCATTGTTACCTTACCCCTTCATTGTTACATTGTTGTCAAGTGCCTTCCAATCAGTTCCCTGTATAGGGTTTTTGAGGAGGGACCCTGTTTTTGAGGAGCAGCTGGTGAGTTTGAATCATCAACCTTGTGGTTCAAACCAACTTTGAGGGTGAGTGCTTATCCTATGTCGCCAATTGTTACATTAGGAGTGGCAAATGATAATTCTCAAATACTGCCATGCCTTCTTAATTTATCAGCGGGCATTCTCCCCCTCCCATCTCCAATGTTTTGTTGTTTCACTATGAAATCAAGGGTATTTCAATACTATTGATTTAAGGCTTTTAAATTCCACATATTATACTCCACAACCATAAGTCTTGCTGGTGCTCAAATTATCACAAATTTGGCCAGTGGAAACCACTCTAAGCCACAAACAACTCCCTCTCTCCTTTGGTGTTTCCCCGTTGGTCCTGGAGTACATCCTTGTTTTGATGACCCAAGTTTACTTTGTATGTTTCCTGCCCAAGACTTGAAATGAGCTCTACCTTCTTTTTATTTCTCTGAATGGTTATACCTCTGGTCCCTTTGGGAAACTGAGAGGGGCCAAGAGTCTTTTCCCTTTTATATCATTTTTCATAATATGGACCTGATGCTAAATTTTTACTTTACTTTGTACTTGTTTCCACCAGATCAAGAAACTGTGGAGGACATTTTTGTGAACAACTCTTTCCAAAGACAAATAGCAGTTCTCATCATAAAGAATGGTGATACTGAGCATGCCAATAGCACCGTAATCAAGAGAAGTGGGTCAGTAGCTGCAAGCAGATGTGGGCTTAAAGGGCAAGTTCTGTAAGTAATTGATACACACTGTTCACATCATGAGGACCCTTACTGAAGCTGTAAATTTTATCCTTTTCTGTGGCTGCACCATGTATGGGAATGGGCATATCCCCCAACTCATCTCAGTGTCTAATGATAATTTTAGCAGCAGCTTGTATGGTGTTGAGTAAATTTACAAATTTACAAACCCTAGTTATTGTTTCAATCGGAGTAACTTCTCTTCATTGATGCTTGCGTGGCACTGCAGGATAATGCGCTGGACTGCAAAAGTCGGTTTGAACCACAAGGTTAGTGGTTTCAAACCCACCAGCCACTCCTTGGAAACCCTAGACAGGATCACAGTGATTCAGAACTGACTCCACAGCACTTAAATAAAACAAACAACCCTCTCCCTCCCTGCTACACAATCTCTTAAGGACTCCTGGTGTGGCGTTCTAGGATCAGCACTGGATGGGAACCACAAGGTTGGCAGTTCAAACCAACCAGCATTGGAGATGAGAAGGGGAATATGCTTGACCTGGATATGAAGGCACTTAAGAAACTCCATATGAGGTCGCTATCAGTCGGCATAGACTCGATGGCATACAATAACAACAACAATCTCTTAAACATCACTTCCTAAGTTAAGCATTAGCATGAGAAACTTCCTTTCTTTCTTTCCCCGAGTACCAAAAGTTGTCGGTAAATTGTTTTTTCTTCCTGTTATCTGATAAGGGCTATGTTTGCATACCATAAACACCATAGCTTCTGCCACAATGCATGACACACAATGGATCTCAATATCTGGTGGATGAAATTAATTCCAAGTTCTTATTGGGAAAGGGGATAAAGGGAAGAAATGAGTGCAGCAGAGGGAAATGACACATCCAATGGGGACTCAAAGTCTCAGCTGAAGTTCAGGGAGCATGGGGCTCACTTTCACCCTGAGTACCAAAAACTATTGATCTTTTTTTTTTTTCATTCTACATAATTGCACTTATTTTCTATCAATACAAAAAAATTTGTTTGATTGTATGATGCTCACATATGAAAGTTGTCTCCTTGATGGATTTATGTGTGTGGCTATGATGAAAGAGTCTTGCATCAGGGGGCTCATAAAGTCAGTGGATTCCTCACAGTAAGTAGCACAGTAAAAGACATAGGGGTGTTCAGTAACGTGGTGCTAATTCAGGAACAATTGTCTGAATTTCAAGTGTCTCTTTGTTCCTTACAGGCTTTTATCTCATTGTCCTTCAACAGACCTCCAGCATTCTTTAGGCATCACTTTTCATTGATTCAAGGATAATTCTTCCCAGAATAGGAGAGTAAGTCAAAAAGTATTGTTACTAGGGTTCCAGTTCATACATGCACTGATTTATTCCAAACAAAATGTGTTTAAACATGTCTCTGCAATCAATAGATGGCCAGGACAAGTTCTCAGTAATGCACTTGTCTTAGTCTCATTGGAGTATCTTCAAAAAAGAAAGGTCCAATCAAAACAGTGGCTTCCAAAAGGCTCTGCGGAAGCAATTAAACTAATGGTAGAGAGGTCAGCTCAGAAGGGAATGGCGACTGTTTTGGGGGATTCCCAAGGAGTCATCTTGATAAGAATTTTCTTGGACATGGGACAATCCCAAGAGCTTGTTATGAAGTTTTATGAAAATGGAAAACTGCACTGGTAAGAAAATGGCCCGGAAAGTCTTTGAGGAGAGCAAGAATTGTCCTATAAGAATTTTGTTGGGAAACCTTACCAATCCATCCCCACAGTCCTGAACTTGCCCCTTCAGACTTCTTTTCTGTTCCCCAAACTCAAAGAACATTTCAAAGGAACACAGTTTGATTCCTTAGAGCATATCAAAACTGCGACTCTGATGTGGTACAAATGAAACAGTGCAGAGAGAGATGGGAACACCATCTTCAGAAATGTATAGACCTTGATGGAGGATGTATCAAGGAATAATAGCTTTACATTTTGATACTTTTATTTAATAAAGGTTTCTGTGATTTGGCAGCAATATCTTCTGGCTTACCCTCATATACTAGAACTGGGTACTGACCTCAGAATTTCAAGCATCTCTTTACATGGGCTTCTTTCTCAAGCTTCTCAAGGAATGTTGAAAGAACCAAGAGTTCTAACAAGAATTCAAAGCTAAAATGCTTTCTAATGGTGTTCTTTAATAGGTATTGAGGACACAAATGGTTTTAGACATATATTAAACTAGATGAAAGCTGTTGTTAAATGTCCCTAGGTGCATGCTGTTGTTGTTGTTAAGTACCATGGAGTTGGTTCTGACTCATAGTGACCCTGCCCAGGGTTTCCGAGGCTGTAATTCTTTATGGGAGCAGAATGCCTCATCTTTCTCCCGCGGAACTGCTGGTAGTTTCAAACTGCTGACCTTGAGGTTAGCAGCCTGATTCGTAACCACTACGCTACCAGAGCTTCTTCCCTAGGTGCATGTTGTTGTTAAGTGCCTTCGAATCGGTTTTGATCCATAGCGACCCTGTACAGGGTTTCCGAGGGTGTAAATCCTTACGGGAGTAGAAAGCCTCATCTTTCTCCCGCGGAGTTGCTGGTAGTTTCGAACCGCTGACCTTAAGGTTCGCAGCCCGATTCGTAACCACTACGCTACCAGAGCATAAGCAGTATTAAATCAAACCACAAACATTTCAAAAGTCTAAAAGTTTATTGCCAGAATAGCAAACTTCATAAAGACACCTTTTAAAAAGTACATTGGCAATGATAAGCAAAATAAACAGAAAACTTTGACTAAACAAAAGCAAAGATCATTGCTGTCATGCACATACAGTCAAATGATACCAAACCAAAGAAGAACATTTGGAAGATGCGGGTTATACAATCCACATTAAAAACCTAAAGGAGACATTCCAAAACACTTGGGTTTTAGGGGGAAGGGAAACTTCTTAGTACAGAAAATGATAGCATTTAGATGAGAAACAGAATGATGACTAAAATAGTAATTATCCATTTTTTATCTCCAGTCTGCATTATCTGCCTACAAGAATTCAAGAAGAGATAGTCAAATATCTAAACACAGAAGGGAAGAAAGACATTCTGAGCTCAATTTGTATTATCCTTACAATTGATTACTATCTCATATATACTACATTCAAGGTGTATTATGTTAGTTAAGATAAGCTAAGAAGATCAAAAGCCAGAACGACCTTTACTATTTGATTTCAAATATGACTATATTTTTGTAAGCCAAGCAATATTACCCCTCCTACAAGCACTTTTTGATTACTAGCATTATTTAATAAAGTGAAAATTCATATAAAAGAAGTCAAGGTGTAGCAACCATTTCCAGCTGACCACTAATGCCCAATAGAACTAGTGCTAAATGAGTAAGAATAAGTGTAGGAAGAATTTCCTGTTGCATCAAAACTGCCCCTCCGGGACCCACTGCGGGAACCTGAGCGAGAGCCAGACCGAGAGCCCGAGCGGGAGCCAGACCGAGAGCCGGGGGCAGAAGACATGTTATAAGGGCTAGGCAAGCCTTTAGATGAAACTGAGGCTGCTTCCAGAAGGCGTAACCCCGTGATGTCTTCTACCATGGAGCGGTTCACGGCATCCTTGTATGATATTTTCAATTTGGTTTTGGGGCAGGTCAGGATTTTGGCATAACTGCTGGTGTCTTGCAGCCTCTGAGCTGCTCGGCCATCGATGAAGCCTTTTCTGATGGCTTCCTCAGTGCTTATCCTCCCATGCACTTCTGGGTCAACGAGACCGCCTGTAAGGTATTGGAACTCCAGGAAGCGCTGCCCTGCCTCATAAGGAAGCCACTTTTCTTTCACGGCCTCTGCTGCCGACATCTTCTTCTTTCCCTTCACCCCTTCAAAGCCAATGAAGGCTTTCTGCGCAGGTTTCAGCCTGGTGGCCATATCCTGGTCAATCAGACCCTGGGAGACGGCATCCTGGAGTAACAGCTTCTGACCAGTGGTTGGGTGGATGATGCCGCCTGTGCAGGCCTGAGCTTCCAGAAGCCTCTGGCCTGTGATGCTATCCACAATGCCTCGCTCTATACCTTCCGAAATGGAGATTTTCTCCAGGTTTTCTGTGTCAAAGATGGCCGCAATGGGGCTTGATTCCTCCAGGGGGTCAGACAGAGAGCTGCTCCTAATGGTTAAATTCCTGACACTAGATATGGTTGAAATCTTACTTACAGAATCATGCCGAGAACTGCTAAAAACATCATCGCTGACACCACCACCCAGGCCACTGCTGTTGCTATTTTTTAAGGAGATCATATCAGCAAATTGAGTGAGGCTGAGGCTACCAGACCGGTACTGCTCAAAAAACTTCCTGTCAACGAGGCCCTTGTCAATGGCATCCTGAATATCATACTGACCACCTGTTTTCCTATCTACCAGGACCACCCTGGTAGAGCCGTCAGATCCAGTGATGGTGATTTCTTCCCACTCGCATTCCTGCTCACACAGTTCTTTAAAAGTTTCGTAATCGATCAGGCCCTTCTTATAGGCCTCCTGAACAGACATCTCCTTGTTGGTTTCTGGGTCAACTATGACCACTCTACGCTTCCTGAGGGTATTCTTTTGGGATGTCTGCACCTGCTTCTTCTTTTCTTTCAGAGGCAGGAGACAGAGCCCTGTTTCCTCATCCTTAATGCATCTTTCCTTTAGCTGCAGATAGGTAAGGTTTTCTTCAGTATTAGGGTCAAAAAATCCCTTTGTATCATCGCTTGGATCTGAGAGAATCTCACTGAGCTCCTCGTTGAAATATCCCCTTTTGTAGGCCATGTCAACTGGTAAACGATGGCTCTCTTTGGGATCAATGATGCCCCCAGTTGCAATCTGGGCTTCTAACAAGCGAATGCCATGACCCTTTTCAATGAGCTCCTTGTTCATGGCTTGGAACAAAGAGATGATGTTGCCTGTCTCAGGATCATTGTACCCAGTGACAGCTCGCTCTGCCGACAAGAGCTTCTCTTTAAATTCAATGCCCACCAGACCTCTTTTATAGGCTTCTTCGACAGGTAACCTCAAATTGCTAACAGGATCCACTATAAAGCCAGTAGCAGCTTGGGCTTCAAGTAACTCCAGAGCAGTACCGGGTCGGACCAAGCCAATTTTCATGGCCTCGTAAATCCCAAGCTTCTGTTTTGTGGTCTCATTGTATATGCCTGCTATGCAGCTTGAACCCTGGAGGAAGTCCTTGATTCTCTCACCAACCTCATCATAAGAAATCTGCCCAGATTCAAGTTCATTTACAGTGGATGGTCTCAATATGCCAGAATTGACTAGCTCAGTGACGGTTACAGGTTGTCTAATTCCTTGGAAGGACATGCTTCTCTTCTGAACTGACAGCAAGAGCAGTCCAGTGTGGGGTTCGATTCTGCACCGTTCCTTCAGCTGCATGTAACTGACCTTCTTCTTGGTGATTGGATCCACAAAGTTTTTCTGACTGTCTCGGGGATCGTTCAGTGATCGATACAAATCCCTGTCAATCAGTCCACGGGCCAGGGCCACATCTTTTGGCAAAAAGACACTGTTGACAGGATCCACGACACCCCCAGACGCAATCTGGGCTTCCAACAGTCGCATTCCGGTTTCTCTATCAATCAGATTTTTCTTGATAGCCTCAGACACAGATACTGTCTTGCCTGAAAATGGATCATCAAAGCCCGTGATGGCTTTTTCTGCTGTGTATATCTGCTGACGGTCATCAAAATCAATAAGGTCCCGGGCAATGGCAGTGTCAACATTTAGCTTCTCATTCCTATGGGGGTCAATGATCCCACCAGTGGCTGCCTGCGCCTCCAGAAGCATGACTGTGGACTCTGGAGTGATTAATTTCTTTCTCTTGGCCTCAACCAAAGAATACTTGTCCTTAGGAGACGCAGAAGCTCCTGCAATAGCTCCTGCACCCCGTAGGAATGGTTGGATGTCGGATGCAACTTCTTCCACCGACTTCTTCCCCTTCATCAGCTTGTCCAAGGTCGTCTTGTCGATCAGTTGGCACTCATAGAGCTGCATGGCCGTCACCTTCTTCCTCAGCCCGTCGAACACCAGCTTCGAGGTGTCGACTGTCCACTCGTACTCGGTCTGGGTCTCCCGATGGGACCCATAGGGGCGCTGTCTGAGCTTGTCAATCTCTCTCTGCAGCCGGGAGCGCTCAGTCTCCAGCTGGGACTGTGTCTCCCTGGAAGAGTCCTCCAGCTTGCGCCTGCACCTCTCTTCAATCCTCTTGATCTCTGCCTGGAGTCTCTCAATCTCACTCCTCAGGCTGTTCTTCTCTCTCTCACTCTTTTCTCTCTCGGATTCAATCTTTCTAATGGCCTCCTCCTTGCGGGAATATTGTGTTTTCCACTGATTTAGGTCGTTCTGGATCTGCTGTTTCTCACACTCGAGGCGCTGCTTCACCCTGCTTTCTGCCTCCAGCGTTGTTTTTGCACGGTTCAGCTCATCTTCCAGCCTTTGCAGCCTTGCCTTATCTTGTTCCAGGACTTTGATTTTCACCAGGAGGCTCTCTCTTTCTTGTACCACCTGAGTACACTGACTTTTTGATTCCTGAATCCTGTTAGATGCCTGGAATTTAAAGAGAAAAGAAATGGGGAAAATAATGCTTTTATCACATCATATTACTTTCATAATTGCTACTTTTCCTCTCTTTTTAAAAAACAAAAACTGGTCTACTTATTTCCCCTTTCTATAGTTTCCTTGAATATACAAGGGAGCTTCAAAATGTTTGTGGAAACATGGACTTGAAAGATAATGGAATTTTCCCATAAACTTTTGGAAGCTCTCTTGTACTGTTGACTTGTTCGATTACAAATCATAGATAAAATTCTGTAAATCTATGTTGCCACTTTGATAAATGGCTTCATACTTACTTTTTTTTAAAATTTTTCCCATAGAAGGAACTAAGAGAAGTTATGACCTTGTTTTACTTGTGGTTTGAAAAAATATGGGGAATTTGCATCATACCTGCTAATATCTATAGTTTGCCTGTTTTAGCTATACTAGCATGCTTAATAAAACCAAACATATGGATCTAAGAAGGGATTCAAAAAGTTCATGGAAAAAAATTCCAGTATCTTTTAATTACATTTTTCCACAATCTTTTTGAGGAACCCTCATACACACCCCCCCCAACACCCAGCACCACACAAATATTGTCTATAGAAGTCAAATGTAGTAGAAGTTAATTTTAAATAAGAAAAGCTAGAGAAAAAAAAGAAATACATTTAGATAATGATGAAAAGAAAATAGAATAATGCATGCAGAAAAAAATCATCTAAGCAAGCAAGCCAACGTGATTTTAAAATTGCAGAGAAAACCGCTTTGTTAATTATCTGACTTTTAATTTAGAAAAATTTTAATTACAAACATTACATCAGGGCTCACTAAATAGGAGTTGTAGTCTAGAAAATAGAGCGGAACATTCAGCAGAAGTGATTTCAGACGTTACATGCATGCTAAAGTTCTTAAAAACAGATTATTTCAAAGCACTTGGCTGGATTATGATTTGTACTAGGTCAATAATTAAAAAAATAAAACACACTCTTGTAAGCATGCACTTAGGCAGCAAGAGCATAATTGAGATTAGCAGAGAAAAGAGTGAATTATTTCAGAGACAGGGAAGCCATGATCAAATATTTGTGAATACCTCTAATGCCTGCTTTTGGAATTTCTCAATTTCCTGTCTCAAATTTTCCCTCTCTCTCTGTAAATCGTTAATCAGTCCCTGCAGTTCCAGGGTCCGGTTGTTGCTGATTTGCAGCTGGCTCCTGAGTTCTGCAATGGTTGCGTTTTTGTCAGAGTCAGCTTCGCTGCGGCCCCTCCTCAGGTCGTCGTACTCCAGCCTCAGGTTCCTCAGCTCCTCCTCCAGCATCAGGTGCTCCTTGGTCAGGTTCTCCGTGAGCGACTGCAGCCGCTCGATTTCTATTTTGCTCTCATTTAAGCTCCGGCTCTTATCTTCTATGGCCTTCTGGAAGTGCTCATTCCTTACATGTGCCTGTTTGACGTTTTCTTGTTCCTGGAGCAGCTGCCGTCTCAGGGCTTCGAGCTCCGAGGCCAGCCTCCTTAGCTCCTCCTGTGTCTTCTGCTTGTCCCTCACGTGGCCATCCAGCACATCTCTCTGCTGCCGGAGGTCATCCTCACTCCTCTTTTTCACAATGGACGCCTCCTCCAGCTGCTGGGTCAGGCTGGTGACTTTGATCGCCTGCTCTTTCAAAGACCTCCTCATGCCCTCCAGTTCGTCCTCCAGCTTCTTCCTCTTGGTGGAGTCTTCTGAGGCTGTCCTTTTCAGCCGATTCAGCTCCTCTTCCGCTCTCTGCTTCTGCAGCTGTAAGTCTTTCAGTGAGCTCTGGAACCTCGTGATATCCTGGTCTTTCACGGTCCTCTCCTGTGAAATCCTCTCATAGTCAATTCTCAGGCGTGTGAGCTCTTGCTCCTGGACCTTCAGTTTGCTGATTGTCTCTGTTGCACTACTGTTGGCTTTCTGCAGATCATACTGGACCCTTTGCAATTTGGCATTTTCGTCTTCCAGGCACTTCCTTTCATTTGTTTCTGTTTCTATCAGCTGTTTTAATCTTTCTATCTCCTTGTTTTTATCCTGGATGGTTTTAGCAGCATCGTCTAGAGACTGCTTGTATCTCGTGCTCTCTTCACTTCGAATCTGTGTGACCTGGCGCAGCTCGATCTCCAGCTGCTGTTTCCTCTGTGACATCTCAGAGCCAGTGACCTTCTGCTGTTGCATGTTTTCTTCGACCCTCCTAAGGTTCTCTGTGGTCTGGGCTAGTGTGCTTTTAAGCCTCTTTATCTCCTCAGACAAGCTCCTGTTTTCTCTGGTGAGATTGTCGACTTGGGCTCGGTAACCGCTGGTGTCTTCTTCTTTCTGCATGGTGAGCTGGTGGATGGTGGTCTTGGTGATGTTGATTTCAGTCTCAAATTGGTTTTTTAAGCTGATGATCTCTTCATCGTAACTGTTTCTTACCTTAGCCAGTTCATTTTCATATTCCCAGCGGCGCTTAGCTTCCTCCTGAAACTCAACTTTGAGTCTCTCAATCTCTTTGTTTTTGTCCTGGATGGTCTTGGCCGCTTCCTCCAGGGACTGCTTGTGCCTGGCATTGTCCTCAGAGCGCTGCTGGATGATCTGCTTGAGTTCTATCTCCAGGTGCTGCTTCTTCTGCATTATCTCGGAACCGCAGGCCTTCTGCTGCAGGGCGTTCTCCTCCGCCCTCCTGCGCTGCTCCGTGGTCTGCAGGATGTTGTCATTCAGCCTCACAATCTCGTCCTTTAGGTCCCGATTTTCCCTTGAGAGTCTATCAAGCTGGTTTCTAAGGTTTTTGGAATCATCCTCCTTTTGCATGGATATCTCCTTGATGGTAGTCTTCGTAATGTTAATCTCGGTTTCAAACTTGTTCCTTAAATTACTCATCTCCTCATTATAATGGTTTCTTACCTTTGCCAGCTCATTCTCATATTCTCTCTTCCGGTTGCCCTCCTCCTGAAGAAGGACCCTCAACCTCTCTATCTCGTACTCCTTCTCCTTGATGGCTTTCTCAGACTCCAGTTTTTGCCAGCCAAGATTCTCCTTTTCACACTGCCTGGCTTTCTGCAGCTGGTCATAGTCGTTCTTCTGCTGGTCAAATCTGTCCTCCACAGTCTTTCTTCGTCTCTTCTCATCTTCAATCTCGTAAGTGAGCCTGGTGATTTTCTCATTGAGCTCTTTGATTTGGCCATAGCACTTGTCAAGGTTCTGTTTCGCCGACTTTCCATCCAGCTCAGCTTGCCTCTTCAGCTCCTCCAGGCTCACAAGCTTTGCTTTGAACTGGGAACACTCTGCCTGGTATTTCTGCAGGTTCTGATCCAGGAATTTGTTCTTATTGCAGTTTTCAGAGTTGGCGTCACGGGCCAGTCTGAGTTCCTCCTCCAAAACTTCAATCTTGGTATTTTTCAGCTGTAGAAGTAAAATCAGAAATTATGTTGAAAGAGAAACACCTCACATCACAAGACAAAGACAGTATTTTCCCCTTCTGGACCAATGTGCCCTCTCATTCCCCCATTTCTATTCACACACACACACACATGCACACAACACATACAGACACATATGATATGCAGACAGACAGACATACTCCCCCTATCACACACACACTCAGTTTCCACCATATACACTCCACCACTACATATATAAACACCAACTGCATGTACATGCAGACACATACATACAACCTACACGCAAACACATAAAGTGCGTTATAAGACAGAAACTACAAAAATTTAAGAATCTGGATTCTTGTCATAATTCTTTTAACTGTTTCTATTAATAATTTCCATTAACTATCACGATCTTAGAAAGCAATATATCATTTTTGGGTCTTAGTTTTCTAATCTTCAAAATGGAGTGTTTTTTCCAAAGATCAAAAGCTTTTGATTTTATGAATGCTGTCCCCTGATTTCAAAGTATAAAGTGTATTTCCATATAAACTCAACTATTAGAAAAGAGAAGTAAATTAAACAACCACCCTACATTAAAATATCAACTCCAACTAGTTCAGGATATTCTTATGCTTGATTCAAAACAAAGAATTAAAGCAAACTCCTTGGCCAGATATTAAGCAAAATGGTTTTATGGCAAAATACAGTAGCTGCAGTGTTTGAAGTATCACGTAAGTCCATTTAGAACAGTGTAATTGAACATGGGTCTAACTCCAGGCTTAACCCACAAACTATATCATTATTAAATGTTTAGGGAAAATATCGTTTTGCCAGTGTACATCCATATCCATGCTATAAAGGAGCTCTGGTAGCGTAGTGGTTACGAATCGGGCTGCGAACCTTAAGGTCAGCAGTTCGAAACTACCAGCCACTCCGCAGGAGAAAGATGAGGCTTTCTACTCCCGTAAAGATTTACACCCTTGGAAACCCTGTACAGGGTCGCCATGGGTCGGAACTGACTCGATGGCACTTCACATCAATAAGGTTTTATTCTATTTCATTTGATGCCCCAAGGAAATAAAGTAATAAATCACCTTCAGATCTTCCAAACTCTTCAACATCTCACTTAAGAATCTGTAATAATCTCCAGACCTTGTAAGTAGTTCTATGTATCGAGCATGCATGTCTGCAGCCTTAGAGAAAAGGGAAGAAAAGGATATTGGATTGAAAAACAGTCCTAATCAAGTTGACTTATTTTGTTTTCTAAAATAATAGTGAAATAATAATATAAAGAGCAAACTCCTTCATGTGTGCTAATTCCAAAATGTAGAAGTCCAACACAGCAAAGAGTTAAAAATACTGCATTCCATCCTCATGGCTCCAGACTGCTTCCCCTAAACCACCTGACAGGCCATGTCTCTGGCATCTTTGGAAAGACGTTGCCTTTTAGAAGCTTACATTTGTGTCACTTTGAGACATCTCCCTCACTAAACCCAGAAAATTAAGCTCAATTCTGCAAAGCTTTTAAGGTACCAATGACAGGTTCAGACTGATGAGCTCTTGCATCAATGACTCACACTGGGGCCCGGGGATGGAGGGTGGGGGAGTGCATAACCTGCTATTGAACCTTTTTGAATGGTTATTTATGAGGTGCAGAAAGCCAGCTGACTTTTCATTCAGGGATACTGGGAGTCAGATCCCCTGGGAGCCATGATGTAATTTATCTTGGTCAAGAGGTAAGGTTAATAAAGACTTTGGAAGATGGGAGCTCAGTGGAGCTTTCTGGTTGGAGCAGAGCACCCCTATGGGTGATGAAACTCTGCACTGGAATCCTCCCTCATCTTCCTGTATGTGTCTCACCCAATGCATATCTCTGTTCACATCCTGTTTGGTTATAATCAATCAGTATGGGATATTCTCCATGAACTCTGTGAGTTATTACAGGGAATCCTGAACCCACAGTGACAGTCAGCAGGGGCTAGCATCTGCCTATTTGGCAATCTGAAGGACTGTGTCCTTTTAACTTGTGTGCTCTGGTCTGGCCTGGGGTGGCCAGGGATGACAGAGAGAAGGGCTGGCTAGTCTGAAGTGGAAGAAGTAAAGCTTGCAACTGATACCCCCCCGACCCAGCCCCCAGTAGCTGGTGAGAAACAATACTGACGATAGAGTGGCTGGCAACAAGGTTGGAAAGGTGGGAAGGTGAGGACTGGATCCAGTTCCAAGTAGAAATTAGTCATATAGTTAGCAATAAAGTGGGATACTGCCCAACCTGCTCTTTGTGGTGCACAGCTGATGTAGTTAAAGTAATGGTCTATCATAAGGAATGGATTTCAGGGACTAGAGGGAGGTCAGGGAAGGAGACGTGGGGGGGGGGGGGGGGGGGGGAGGCAGCAGCAACGGCAGAGTTTAAAAGATATGCAATGACATATATGAACACATACATACCTCTTGCATAATCACCCCTGAAGGGGACTGAACCATAGTTCTCTTGATAGGTATGTTAAGTAGAGTTTCCAGTCCTGAGGTGTATGATGCAAGTTGCAGTTCATAATCCTGCAAAGTAGTAACGTTAAAGGAAAACATTCTTAAAAGACTTTAAATGACAGCTAAGATTCCACACTTATAAATCAGCAAGCTGTATTTCTAATGACCAAGGCCAAAGCTATTGTGAACCTGCTTGGTGTCCCAGCTGCTAAATATCACATCTTCATATGCTGATGTGGTATTTCTGTATATGCAGCTAGCTGAAAGAGTAAAGATCACTCACTCCCTTGGATATTGGCCAATTTGTAATGTATGCAAGTAAATGGATAAACTTTCATGGCTTATTCAAGACAAAATACGTCAAAGCCATAATCATTATGCTCAAGAAGTTGAGAAATCTTTCAAGTAAGTGACTGAGTAAACAGCCCGGCTAATAATACTCCTGATGAAATATGAATGCTTGATGAAACCAACATACCTTAATTGAATTTGCACAAAGTTCGGAAATTTTTTGTACTTCTTCTGATTTGTCTCGTTTGCCACATATTTCATTGTGCAAGTTCTGTACAAAAAATACATACATATAAATGTTAGTTCATGAATATCTTAAACATTACTTGGCTTTTCAACTACTGTTGCTTTGTGCCTCAGTTTGCTGCTACATACGCTTAAAATAAAGGAGCTCTGGTAGCGTAGTGGCTACGAATCGGGCTGCGAACCTTAAGGTCAGCGGTTTGAAACTACTGGCTGCTCCGCGGGAGAAAGATGAGGCTTTCTACTCCCGTAAAGATTTACACCCTTGGAAACCCTGTACAGGGTCGCTATGGGTCGGAACCGACTCGACGGCACTTAACAACAACAACAACAACGCTAACTTCATAACATTACAGACAAATCTTAAAAGATAAGCTTTTTTTTCACTCAGAAAAATAAAAACCTTTAACTTCTTATTATCTAAGAGTTTACTTCCTAGTTAGCACTGCTTTCTGGTCTTAGCCATCCCAGTTTCCAAGGATATTTTATGACAGCATGCGAGGAACAACATTTTCAAGTACATAATTGCAGTTCTTTGTAAATATTTCCATTGTTTGTCCTCTTTAAGCGTCTACAAGTTGAACCAATAGTATTATATGAGAATTATTTCTAACCTATTGTTTCCTCTGTGAAAACCAGAAGAAAATACAGTTTATATTCAATCTCAAAACGGTGATGGAATGACAAATTGTCTTATACCTTCTGCTCATTCAAAAATCTCATGACGGTATTGGAATCACCAAATTTCATGGATTCTAAGGAATCCTGGCGACGTTTGGCATCGTACATCCACTTGCAGAAAGCCTGATAGTTATCACGGTAATTCCTCAGTTGCTTGATCTGTTTCTCCAGGTCCCACAATCTGAGGAAAACAGATACAATACAATTATGAAAGTACTGCTAGTGTTCATCAAACTATATTAACATAGAGTTAACATGTTGTTGTTAAGTGCCACCAACTCATTGCATCCAAGGAGCGGCTGGTGGGTTAGCAGTCCAGTGCTTACCCTACAGTGCCACACCAGGACTTTATCTGACGCAGCGATTCCACTACAAGAGGACTGAAATATATGCCCACACAAAATCTCATACATGAATGTTCATGACAGCATTAATTCTGACAGCTGAAAAGTGGAAATAACTCAAATGTCCATCAATCTATGAAACAGGTAACAGGGAGGAACTGTCAATGGGTACAGAGTTTGTTTTGGGTGATGAAGATGTTCTAGAATACATTATGGTGATGGCTTTGCAACTGCAGATATAGTAAAAACTACTGAATTGCAAGCTTCAAGTGAGTAGATTTTATAGCATGAGAATTACATGCCAATAAAGATGCTTTTTTTTCAAAAAGCACTGTCAGTAAAATGGACTACAAGCAAAGCAGTTTGGGAGATTTTTTTTAAGCTCCTATTTGCTATAAGGCGTTCCTTTTTTATATAAGATTTCATTTTTATAAGGTTTTGATAACACTAACTCATTCCCACAGTCATAACAGGAGTTAATGGGACACAAAATGCATGCTAAATAGCTTGCACCATTTCTCTAAGGATAGCACCTAGCTCATGTTGGTTCTGCCTTGGCTATTTTCATGTACTGTCTTTCCATGTCAAATAAAGCTGGTTATAGACAGTCCCTGAAAGAAGCATCTATTATGCCTACCTGTAAAACCAGTTGCTGTTGAGTTGACTCAAACTTGTAGGGACCCCATGTGTGTCAGAGCAGAAAAGTGCTATCTAAGGGTTTCAAAGGCTGATTTATCAGAAGCAAATCACTAGGCCCTTCTTCCCAGGTGCATCCAAGTGGACTCAAACCACCAAGCTTCAGGTTAGCAGCTGAGCATGTTAACCACTGGCAGCACCCAGGGACACCTAGGATGCAGATATTATATACAAAACCAAGCCATTCCTTTTTGTAGTCACCACTTCAAAAGCACGGCTTGGGAACAATCAGATGGGAGGAAAATAAGGGAGGAGGCTGGCTCACCTGTAGTCTATCTGTTTGTCTATTCTTTGCCAGCGATCAGTCAGCTGTGTGACCTTTTCACTAAACTTTCCAAGCTCTAAGTCATACAGTGGGTATTGCTGGGAAGTCTGGGAGTGGATTTGCTGGGCTTTCTGCAGCTCTGTCTTCATGGTGGCCAGCAGGGACTTCTTCAAATTCAGGTCATTTTTTATTTTCTGCAAAAGACATTAAATGAGTACAAAGTAATCTCTTTTCTCATCTTGTGCTACAGTGCGAATCCCCACTACCAACAAAAAAGATGATAAAACTCTGAATATTTGTATTTTCAGGTGATGAGAATCGATTCAGGAAAATAAATGTACTGATGGCTTTTTCCAATATTTGTCCCATATGAGGTCCCTTGTGCTACCGTGTTCAAAAGGAACTCGATATGTAAATTAGTTTGGGAATCGCTACATATTAGATTCCATTTTTTAATAAATACAATGTGTGTTAACACATTAAAAGTTTTGAGAAGTCTTACAGTTTAAAAAACCAATGTAAGTAACTATGTATAATTCAGCATTCCTGAAAGGAATTTCACTAATTTCACATAGTTCCTGCTCTGGAAAACAGTGTCCAAAAAGTACTGATATCACCCATGTATGGCTAATAAAACCCACCTACCCTCTAAGTTCAGGAAGCGAGTCTTTATAATGGGAAGTTGAACCCTGCGTTACTTCCTGCAAACAAGGTCGCTCTATTGGCAACCTCCCAGTTACCTTGAGTCCACAGCGGTAGGCTTCCACTTTATCCAGATCCAGGCAGACCGTTTCCTCTTCCGTGAGTCTGGCTTCATAAACCTTTAGCATGTCTTCTGTCTGAAGGAGAGCCTGGAGAAGTGCTCTCACGGTGCATAAGCTGGAAGAGCAAAGGAGGCAGATAAGATAGGTGGTAATATACTTGGAATGCAAACGGCTGCCTCTTGGCACAATTAACCAAAGAGAACAACATTTACACACATGAAATTATTTTGTCTAGTCTATTTAAGCTAAGGTGTGATGGTTTTATATTTTTTTGACTCCATCATAATTCAAACCACCATGCCACATTTACTTAAAAATTCTAAAATTCTGGCCTTGAGAGTATAACTTACTTCTGAGATGCACTAGATTTCAAATAGTAGAATTCATACCCTAGACAAGAAGAGACACTCTCAAGACCACAGAATAATGTAAGCAAACCTCTAAAAAGAAAAACTAAGTCAAGATCTCTAGTCCACCAAGCATTATGTTGTTACTGTTCAAAGCTGTATGGACTCATAGTGACCCTGTATAGGGTTTCCAAGAAATTGCTGGTGGGTTTGAATCACTGGCCTTGTGGTTAGCAGTCCAGTGTTTATCCTATAGTGCCATACCAGGACTCATACCAAGTATATAAATCCAATTAAATATAATAAACTGTAGTTTAAGAAAAGCAACATACATGATTAGCATTAGTTGTGTTTACCTATTTAAGTAGCCGTCTGTAACACCATTGATATTTTCCAGTTTTTGAAACAGTCCAAATACCTCATTCTGTAAATAGCAATATTTTTCAGAACCTCTGAAGTTAGCTAGCATGTCTTTAAGTTGGTTGAGAAGTTCGGCAATCGCTTGTGAATCATTCTGCACACTCTGCCAAAAAAAAAAAAAGAGGGACGATTTCTCTGATTAATTATTCTATGTGGTTCTTTATAATCAAGGTACTCTTAAAAGTCCAGTATTGAAAGCAGGGACTCAAACAGACCTGGTGCACAATTTCACTGTAGAATTATTCACAATAACAAAAAGGCAGAAACAACTCAGTGTATACTAACAAATGAATGGATAAACAAAATGTGGTGTACTCATGCAATGGATTATTAATTAGCCATAAAGAAAAATAAAGTGCTGATACATGCTATGTCACGGACAAACCTTAAAAACATGCTGAGTGAAATAAACCCAACACAAAAGAAGGAATATAATCTACAACCCTAGTTTTATGAAATATCCAGAATCCAAGGAGCCCTGGTGGTTCAATGGGTAGCAGTTTGGGCCCACCAGCTGCCCTGCAGGAGAAAGCTGTAGCAGTTTGCTCCCATAAAATGTACAGCCTTGGAAATTTATGACATAATTCTACTTTGTCTTATTGGGTTGTTCTGAGTCAGAACTGTTGTTGTTGTTAAGTGCCGTGGAGTCGGTTCCAACTCATAGCAACCTTGTAAAGGGTTTCCGAGGCTGTAAATCTTTATGGGAGCAGAAAGCCTCATCTTTCTCCCGTGGGACAGCTGGTAGTTTTGAACTGCTGACCTTGCGGTTCACAGCCTGATTCATAACCACTACACTACCAGAGCTCCTTCGCTACCAGGAGTCAGAACTAGACGGCAGTAAACGCGTTAGAATGCAAACACAAATGCAAAGAACCAAAAACTAGATAAGTAGTTATCTGGGGCTGGGAGAGGAGGGGCTGGGAGTTATTGCTTAAGAGGGACAAAGTTCTGTTTGAGATAACCAAAAATTTTTAGAAAATAGATGGTTGCACAACATTATGAATACAATAAATGCCACTGAAATACACGCATAATAAAGGTCAAAAGGGCAAATTGTATGTTTTATCACAAGTTAAAAAATAAGTAAATATAAAAGATTCAACAAATAGACAATTACTTTATCATGTCCTTTCAGGAAGCCTTCTTAACAACTGTGTATAAGTGTTGTATATATAACAGTTGTTATTAAATGTCATCTAGACAGTTCTGACCCACAGCGACCCTGTAGACGGTTTCTGAGAAGTGGCTGGTGAGCGTGACCTGCTGACCTTGTGGTTCAAACTGGCTTTCTCTCTCTCGCTCTCTCTATCTATATATATAGATATAGATAGGTAGATCTATCTATCTATTTATCTATATGTGTGTGTATATTTATACAGAGAGATATTCTAATGCCGCGCCTAGGTTTGTATGAACGGAAAAGATCCCTGGATTAAAGAGTTGAAAATCTTGGTCTGTAGTTACAACTCTTCAATGGCTTTGAGATCCTAGTCCATCAAATCTTACCATGTCAGTTTCTTATGTACCCATATCATTGGCATTTTAGGCAGATGACAAATTAATGTTATGGAAACACTTTGCCATCGGCACAATACTAACTCATACAAACAAAAAACATCATGGTGTATTTCACCAACACACAAACCAGCAGCAAAGATGCTTTAATCCACAGCCTGGTAACCTTCTATAAATTTGGAAGTACAAGGGGGCTCCAGAATATTTATAGAGAAAAATCTGTTATCTTTTCATTCCATTTCTCTACAAACTTTTGATGCCTCCAGTATGTGAATGAAAAATTGAAATCCTGCCAGAGCCTATTTTCTTGAAAATTAATTTCTTATGACTAAAAATAGTTATACCAGGAAGTTTTTTATTTGTTCACTGATAAATATACATACACTTGGAATCTGGCAAAATATCCGTCCTGATGTGGTGCTGTGGGTTAACGTGCCAGACTCCAAAGCTGTTTGAATTGCAAGGTTGGTGGTTCAATCTCACCACCTGCTCCTCTGAAACCCTATACAAGGTCGCTATGGGTTGGAACTGACTCGACGGCACTTCAAAAAAAACCACCACCCACCTTCAGCTCATTTATCTTCACTGTGATGTGGTGTGAAGACCCTTGGTCAGCCAGGAGGGTGCTTTTCAGGGACATTCGGCCCTCACAATGCTCCATCTGCCTGCGGATCTTCTGAAGCTCCATCAGTATCCATGTTTCCTGCTTGTCATTCTCTCTGTTGTTTTCAATGACTTTATTATGGTTGAGGTCTTGGCAGGATCCAACGTGAGTGATTTCAGTTGTTGTGACTGTAAAAATACATCAGAACCACAAAAGTCATCAGAAAATTCACAACTAGAAGTGTGCCGGCCCTCAAAACTATTCACACTGCATAAGGGTATGCCCATTGAAGTAAGTCAATCACCAAAGGCCCAAGAACGTATCATCTCACACATATGAAGCAGCTGGAATAGGCAAATTATAGAGACCAAAGGAGACAGGAGAAGGCATTGTTAAGGAAGCATGGAAGATCTGTTCATGGTGATTGAAAATTTGGCAACAGATATCGGTAATGGAGTTACACAACATGATTAATGTCCTTGGGCTCACTAAATTGAACACATGAAAAATATTAAATTGGCAAATGCTGTGCTATGCCCACTTCATTTAATTTCATTCTGAAAATTTAGTATACAAATGACGTTTAATGCATTTCTTTCAAAGAAATAATTCTAAAAATAGTTTTAGACAAACTATCTTAAAAATAAACATAAATTTTGTTTTTATAAAGAAAACAAGTGTAATTTGCTACAATTTGATGAACCTGACCTATACTTACGGATGTAGTAGCTTAAAATACCAACCAAGAGGGAAGGAATCTTCACATCAAGGATCATTCCTATCCTCTCTGTATAGAGTTGATAGGGACAGGCAACTTAGACATTGGCTACCTAAAATGGGGGGGCTATAAAGGCACGGAGTGTCTGGCTTACAAGTTTTCAAGAGGGAGTTTAGTTTCAGAGTGTGCAGGGGAAGGGAGAATCTCCACTAAGTGGCTTTCAACCTGTCTAGATGGGGCTGGTGAAGGGAGATGGGGATAAGACTCTTCTGGTTCAATAGTAAGTAATTGTTATCATGACTGACTAAAATTGTTGCAACTATAAGGTAGACATTTTATAGCAAAAAGGGGGGGGGGAAGTTGATCTTGCAGTCTAGTAGCAAAGGACCCTGAGACCATCAAGGGAGAAGAGCAAGAGCAGAGTGGGGGACCCTATTCAGAGAAGCAGCGATGCCAGAGATGGAGGCAGAGATGATGACATGGAGAGATGGAGCAGCTGGGGACTCTAGACTCATGGAGGGAGAGAGGCTGTGTGCTGGCAGCTGGGGTACAGGCTTACAGGGTATGCCCTTTGGTTGTTTGAATGATTGTATATTTCTGAGTGTTTTGGTGTATATCCAAAAATAAACAAAACAAAAATAGAGGGAGTAGAAGCAAATACTGTTGAATGATGATGCATCGAGGGCATTGTAATCATTGCAATGAAACATACGATAGGATGAGTGTAAAGCCAATGTTCTCCACTATAAACTATCACTCAATCCACAATAAAACTTTAAAAAAAAAAAAAAACAAAGTTGCAGATTTGATTGGTAAAAAGAGAAAGGTGCCAAAAGCCCACCTGTCTGGTGCTGCGGGTGACCAGGGAGCTGTATGACCAGGGTCTGGTAATGCTTCTGAGCATCAGTGAACTGAGACTGGATTCTCCGTTTGTCATCATCCCCAAACATCTCCGAGCCTTGGCTATTTCTGATGAACTCTTGGTAATGTAACTCAAGATCAGAGATTGTCTTCATGTAGTCTTCCTGGCGCATCGTTTTCAGCTGAAAGTAAACCAGGAAAATGTTATTTATGACTGCACCACAGGGCTGTCAAGGAAAGTCTGTGAAAAACGTCCCAACCATTTATAGGGGACTTGAGGCAGCATTTGCGAAGCGTCCAATAAATATAAAAGTCTTTGAGGCAGGAGATACTGAGCTTCTGTTAAAAATGGTGGAAATATTTAGGAATGGTTAAAGGTGATGGTTGAAACATGAATTGTATATATGAAGATGGTTGAAATGGCAAATGCTTTTTTGCCACAATACAAAAAAAGACTTTGAAGGTTTATATATTATTTTCTTTTTATAATTGCTCCTAAGAAGATTTGTCATAGATTTTCTATTTTATTTTCCACAACACTTCCTTCACATGAAATATTACTCAGAAGTCCGAAATTGAAAGCAGATAACAGCAAATAACAGGGGGTAGGGACCCTAAAAGCTTCTCATTCTATGCCTCTCCTTCACTTCCATCCTTGTTACCTCAAAGTATCCCCCATCTAAGATTCTGCAGATCACTATTTGAAAACCACTGATTGTTGCTGTCAAGTCCCTAATGCTTTGAGTGTTCTTCTAAGAATTCCATCCCAATGTTCTCGTTTGTGCTATCCAATTAATACTCTACAACTTAATTTCCCATTACATCCAGAATAATGCAGGACCGTGTGCCTTTTCCATAGGTACTGTGAATTTGTCACGTAAGCTGAATGAGGATTTCAGCCATGTGTTAATTCCTCCTACTCTATACTGGATGGAGCAGACCCATTGAGGAAGGCTGTGATGAAATAAAAGGAGTACCCACTGCACCTAGAAGACCTCCCTGGTAGAAAGGGGTACTGCAGGGGGAAATTGGGCGCCTGCCTTCCTCCCTCCCAACAGACTGAGGGTCAGGAGGACGTACCTTGGCGATGGTCATGGCTCTGATTTTCTCAATGTCAATCATACAGTAGTGCCAGGACACCAGGCTCTTCATGTTGATGTAAAGCTGGTTCCACAAAGCCAAGATGGCTTCGTAGTACTGCTCAATCCTAGGGGACACAAAGGGACAGGGCACTAGAGACACATGTTCACTTTCTACCCCAGACAGGAAACCTGACACACACAACTGCACAAAAATGTAAAGCTAAAACTAACAAGGTCACAGGTATGAATTTCAAAATCTTCAACATTACCATTAGTTTATACTCCCCAAACACATTTTCAATCATCTACATTAGTATTTGGGCTGAGAACCACAAGGTCAGCAGTTCAAAACTACCAACTGTTTGGCAGGAGAAAGATGAAGCTTTCTGCTCCCATAAAGATTTACAGCCTTGGAAACCCTGTACAGGGTCGCTATGAGTCAGAACCAACTCCATGGCACATAATCACCACATTAATATACATCATTCAAATCATTTTGGTTAAAATGTACAGTATGCTTTTTTATGGTGGTAGTTTTGTTTGCTAGCAGTGGTCTGACACTGTGTAGGAGGATAGGGAAAGCTGTCCTGGGATGCTAATGAGGGCTGTTGTTAAATGCCGTCGAGTCATTTCCAACTCTTAGTGAACTTGTGCAGAGTTCCTGAGGAGCAACTAGTGAGCTCGAAGCTTGAAGTCCAGCACATTCACCTGTAGTGCTACACCAGAACTCCTGATGTGGGCTGGAGCTGGATAAGGAGGTCTGTCATGTGAATCTCTTTATTCTTGTATATGGTGGAATAGTTCCACAATGAACGATTCAAAAGAATCTTCACGGACAATCTGTAAAACTGATGCACCATCTATTGATGAGTAAATATTGATAGGAAAGCCATTTGTCTGCCAGTGTAGTGGTTATGAGTTGGGCTGCTAACCTCAACATTAGCAGTTTGAAACTACCAGCTGTTCCACAGGAGAAAGATGAAGCTTACTGTTCCCGTAAAGGTTTATAGCCTTGGAAACCCTATACAGGGTGGCTAAGAGTTAGAACTGACTCCATGGCACATAACCAACCAATCAACATGCAAAATTATTGAATTTCTAAGAAGGAAAGAAGAAAGTCAAAACAATCCTTTTGAAGTGAACAAATATTCACTAGTGCCCTTTGACACAGACATTCTTTTTTATCTTCCAAAAATAAGTATAATATCTTTCACATAAAACTGTAAGACGAAGATGAATCTACAATAATAGTGGATGATTTTAATACACCACTTTCAAAAATGGATAGAACAACCAGAAAGAAACTTGACAAAGACACAGAAGAACTAAATAACACAATCAGCCAACTGGACCTCATAGATGTGTACAGAGCGTTCAACCCAACAACAACATAATACACATTCTTTTCCAGTGCCCATGGAACATTCTCCAGAGTGGATCGTGTTTTAGGCCACAAAACTGTAAGACGAAGCAAGGTGACCTTCACAAGTTTCTTTTTTAAGGATGTGCATGTTGGGAAACCTGTCTGTCACATGCTCTTCAGACCCCTAACTGGACGACTTAATCAGAACCCCGAGTCTGGAACATTCCGTGATGCTGGGGACTGGGAACTGAGCCTATACCTCCACCCCAGTTTCTTATTTTTTCCTTATCAGAAAGGGCCTGACACATCCTCCTTTGCGCTGCTTATGTATATGTGTGTCACATGGTGCCTGGCCAACCCCACTGCTGTGTCTATCTCCTGTGGGGAGGGCACAGGGACCTTCATCTCAAGCACAAAGAATGTGTGTACCGACCACCAGCCTGCACTGCATGCAGAGTGAGAGTCAGTGCCCATGGGCACCAATACCAACTATTGAAGCTCACCTTGCTCAGTGTCATCTCAGTGTGAGGAAAGCATTGTTCCAACCAGTAGTCTCTAGGAGTCATGTCTTTCTTGGCAATGTGTGAATGTAATGAGGAACAATTTGTCTAGGTTTCTGATATTTATATATATATGCATATGTATCAGAAAAGGGGCAAATGCTTATAATAAATATATATTATCTTCACTCACATTCATGCCATAGCTATTGGGGACTCCCAACAACTTACTTGTAAGAAAGGTCGACAGCCAGCGGGTTTGGAGGTGGAATAATGAGACCCACGGAAGGAACCAGCATGTCGACACCCCCTGGGCCGGTCACGTACCACTTGCTGCGTTCATTGTTGTCCTTCAGGATGCACTCGTCCCCTTTGTGCACGATTTTCTATAAGACAAGCAGCAAACACAGCATAAGCACCTGTTTTTACCTTTTTTCTCAAAGGCAGATAGATACAAAGGCAAAAAGTGTTTGGGCTTTTAGCTTAATTATATTAATTCTCAAGCGATGTTAATTTTCACAAAAAACCACAATGCTAATGTACTTCCTTTAAGTAATACCTGAGAACCTAACAGGTGGGCACAGAATGAGCTATATTTAGAGTGAATTACATGATACGACAAAGGTGTTCTGGGATATCCACTAATAAAATGAGAAATCCTTTTGTAAAGCAAGACTTCACCCCACAGTTTTCCTATTTTGTAAGTTCATGTTTTATATATTAGATTTTATTATGCCGAGTCAATTGTCTGATTGCTTTGCACTTAAAATTTTAAAACAAAAAGAACTTGAAAAGATAGGCTCCATTACTATGTGAAATTTGTCACATTTACTTTATACGCAGCCTGATAGCTCCAATTTTTATGATAGAAATTTAAAGATAAGCGTGAGCACAGATAAATAAGCCTTACAAATTAAAAGAATCTCTATAAAAGAATTTAAAAGGTACATTTTACACATATAGGAAGTGATGGTCGTGGTGGTTGTGCGTGGTGGTTGTGTGCTGTGGAGTCAGTTCTGACTCATAGTGACCCTACATAGGGTTTCCAAGGCTGTAAATCTTTACAGGAGCAGAAAACCTCATCTTTCTCCCATGAAATGGCTGTTAGTTTTGAACTGCTGACCTAGAGGTTAGCAACCCAACTCATAACCAGAGCGTCTTATAAAAGAAGCATTAAGCCTTAAGAAATAATGAAAATATTAAAAAATATATATATATGTGTGGTGCTGTGGGATAAAGCCCTGGACCACAAGGTCGGTTTGAACCACAGGTCAGCTGTAGTTCAAACCACAAGATGGTGGGGGGTGGCTGGGTGCCGTGGAGTTGGTTCCAATTCATAGCGACCCTGTACAGGGTTTCTGAGGCTGTAACTCTTTACAGGAGCAGAACGCCTCATCCTTCTCCCACAGAACAGCTGGTAGTTTCGAACTGCTTACCTTGCGGTTCGCAGCCCGTATCGTAACCACTACGCTACCAGAGCTCCTTGGGAAACTCTATACAGGGTTGCTATCAGTTGGAACTGATTGGATGACACTTCACATTTGTCTTAACTATTGTCTTGACAACTAGGGTATGATACTCAATGAAGTTGCAGCATTTGTTCTCAAGATTGCAACTTGACACATAAAAGAAACAAGAAACATTTATTATAGTGCTCATTGAAACTTGGACTAAATGTTGGCTCTCTTCTTGACAATAATCTACTGTATCATTGAGTAACTGTGTGCACACCTGGTCTTGTTTGTAGTCACAAAGAGCCCGGAGAATAATGGGTTTATTGCTTCTGTAGTCTGGATTACGTGGTTTCAGCTGGACAATCTTCTTGGACTTGTTGACCAAGTTCTGCACCTGACGCTTGTATTCAAGGATTTTCTCTCGCTCCTTCTGAAATTGTAAATTAAAACCGTACTTTAAAATAGATAGCCTGTGGATTTTAGAGAAGATCTTCAAATGACATTAATAGAATTGCTATAATAGTACAAATTAAATATCATTATCAGTTACATAAGCTGTAAAAAGCCACAGATTCATCTTTCGGGAACATGGGGACCTTTCAAAACACACCTCTCAGGAAACTATTTGGCCATGCATTAAATGGGCAGGAAAGAGCATCCTTGTATGAAAGGAATCTCTTGATAAAACCTGAAGTATGTCTTTCCAAAAGAATTTTCGCTTTAAGCCATTAGGGTCCTCTTTGTTTTTGTCTTGATAAGAACTCTGAGCAATTCACCCTGACACTGTGAAACAACAGCAATTTCAGCAGTAGTTGGACAGGTAAAGAAATGCATGGTGAGAAAAGCCAATGGCAGTCAGAGAAAATGCTAGCGTACGCTGGGGAGAGCTTTGTTCTGCTCAATAACACAAAGCACAGTGAAGTGCGTTGGCCAGCGGCTTGTCATTTCCCCACCCGTAGGCCTGTGGGCTCTGGGTCTGAGTGTACCTCCAGCTCCTTTATCTGATCCAGCAGACGCTGCAGAGGCATATTCTTGTCACAGGGGTACTTCTTTCTGATGGAGTCCTGCAGGCCCTTCAGGTAGGCCTCGGTCGACTGCGCTTCTTCGAAAAACTAGCAAGGATGAGAGTGATTCCATATAAACAAAAACCAGCTCGCTAAACAATAAAACCAAAAAGCTAAAGCCACTGCCATCGAGTCGATTCTGTCTCATAGCAAACCCACGTACAACAGAGTAGAACTGCTCCACAGGGTTGTCTTGGCTGCAATCTTTATGCAAGCATATTGCCAGGTCTTTATTCTGAGACACCACGGGGTGGGTTTGAACAGCCAATCTTTAGGTTAATAGTTGAGGAGAAACTATTTGTGCCACCCAGCACATCAATAAATAATATCATCTAGTATTTCTATTTCAAGGAAAATCATTCCCTAAAAGCCTATGTGATAGTAGGCTAAAGAAAAAGTTCAGAGAAAAAAATATATTAACTGATTCAAGTCACTGGTGACCAGGTTATGAATCTAAATTCAAAACCAGTAAGCATTACTTGGAGTCCTGGTGTGGTCCTGTAGGATGTGCACTGGTTTGTTATCCACAAGGTTGCTGGTTCAAATCCACCAGTCACTCCTTGGATACCCTATACAGTGTCACTATGAATCAGAACCAACTCGAAGGCACTTAACAACAATAACAAGTATTATGGAATATATTAAAGATTGTTTTTTTACTGCTTTTTAATACACAGCCAACATCTAAGGCATCAAGTTATTTCTGAGTGTAAATACCTGAAAATAGGCAGCATTTTCTTTGAGGTGAACATCAATACATTTAGTGATCTGAAGAATCCAACTCCACTGGGTCTGAAGAGTGTCCATATATGCCTGAAACAACACAATGTTGGCAATTGTCTAACCACCACCCAGCAGTGTGAACTCATAGTCAATGAGCTGACCCGGACTCAAGGCAACCCTATATGTGTCAGAGTAGAGTTATGTATGCTCTATAGGGTTTTTGTTTCTTAACTTTTTTGGTGATTTGAGTGAAAGTGTACAGAACAACTTGGTTTTCTGTTCAACAACCCATACACATTTTGTTCTGTGATACTGATTGTATCAATCCCACTTTATCCTTGTGTTTTGCCATTTCCATCTGTCCTTCTTTCCAATCCCTTCGACAGTACTTAACAACAACAACACAAAGAACTGTTTTCATGCTACAGAAGAAGAGTTAAGTAGCTATGAAACAGACAGAATGACCCATTGGTCTAAAATATTTATTATTTCCAGGAAAAGTCTATCAACCCCCTCTTTAGGGTATGGATCCCAAAATATCAAATAAAGTTGGCATGGCTTTGTAGTACAGAAGACTCATTCATTTGTATAGTCTTACTTTGTGAAAAGTTTCTCTCTTTCTTCCTAAGAAGTAATTTCTGTTTATGAAGAATTCTCATGACGCCTACCTCAATTTTGTCTGAAGCTGGATGCTGATTGAGGACCAACTGGTCACTTTCCTGTTTAAGCTTGTTGAGCTCCTTTTCCTTGACTTCCAGTTGACTCATACGTATCTGTGAATGAAAGGTCAGAAACAAATCCTTTAGTGTAAGACTCCTTCCAGCAATTTCACTATATTTAAAGGAACACGCTACATTTTAGAAAAGAGAACTGCCAAAGAATCGTATAATTCCTTTTCTTTTTTAAAAAAGCATAATTTTGTTAATACTGGTAAGGATGTTTTTTGAGATCTACGGTATAACTGAACCAGACTAGTGTAATGGCTTGTCCATGATCTCACAGGTAGAGTGAAATAGCTCCCACTAACACTGAGACTTTCTAACTCCAGGTCTGTCTCCTCCATATTGAAGTGCTACACACTCTTGGTTATTGGAATGAACAGATTCTACCACAGCTGAATAAACCACTGACTTCAGGGATTCTAAACAATATAGTTCCCCACCCCTCGCCCCTTTAGCCACTGAAGTGGACTCCAGATGTAGAGCTATAGATAGACACTGGACTACTGATCACAGGGTAAGTGGTTCAAGCCCACCGGCCTCTCCTTGAATACCCTATACAAGCCACCAAAAAGCTCTCTCAGGAAGAAATGATTTCCCATGGCCACTTTAACCAAGGCTGAGTTATAAAAAGCTGACGAATTATTAAAAGACCTTTCATGTCCACCTCATAGCCCTCCAAGACAAGAGTGTCTACACAAGAGTGTGCAGCCATTGTGGGACAGGCTTACGGAGAAGGCCTCCTGCTTCTGAGCAATGTTGGTGTTCTTGTCACTCCAGTCATAGAGCAGCTCTTCCTCCTCACAGTCGTTGATCCACATGATCTCCTTGGACGTGGCCTGGATGATGTTCTGAAGCTGCCGCAAGTGATCCATCCTCTCAAAGGATGCTTTCTGCAAGGAACATCCAAAGGCAGCATTTGAATAGCAATGTGCAGATGAACAGTGTTCTCTACAGACTTCACTGATAAACTACTTTGGTCCTTTTTACAAGAAAATCACAAGAACAGGTAGAATGTTCACCTCCAGAGAGTGTGATATACAAGGCAGCAATGTCAAATGCAATGGAACAGCCTAATCCAGAAGGGTCATAATTTAATCATTCATTTCAGACTACACAGGGAAAATGGATTCTTAAAAAGATAAATCCATGAGAAGAAGCTAACATATAAATATATACCAAGATGAATTAGGGCAGGAGATGAGAGAGAGAATACTTGCTTAGGAAGCTGTCAGTATTTGTTAATGGTGTTGGAAAATTTGTCAATGGGTACAGGTGGTATCGCATGACATTACTAATGTAGTTAATGTAACTGAATTGTGCACATAAAATATTGAACTCGCAAATGTTGTATCACAACATAGTTTATCACAATAAAAAAATCAATTATACATAAAAAAAGATAAATTATGTTTTCCCTGCCCTCTTCCTCTCCCAGAATCCAAGATGCCATCAGCTACAGCCCAGCCCTAATTAAGGAATATTGTTGTGTGTCCGGTAGGCACAATATTTTTTAAATGTCACTGCCAACAAGGAAACACTTAGAGTGAAGACATGGATACAAAAATAGTTCTAAGAATGGAAGTAACTGTTCTTTTTATGTGTCAAATACTTGACAATGACTCTCTCATCACATGGTGATGATAATTTGGTAAATCTTTAGCAGAGGAAACACAAGTCTGATTTTTGGTTCTGTGTCATAAAAGGCCGCAACTCACAAGTGGAAAAGTTCTGTGTAACTGAAAGTATTTAACAAGTCTTTTATGGGCTATTGGAAATCAAGCAGTGCTAGCTGCCGTCTAAGGAAAACATAGCAGAAAAAGTGAATTCAGCATCCCAGAGCACCTATGTGTCCTTCCAATGTGGCCAGGTATAAATGCCAGGTGGGGGCCTCACTCACACCTAGTGGCGCTCAGTATTTGTGGAACTGAGAACTGAACCAGAAGTGAGACCGTGGGCACTTCACAACACAGTCCACTTACCAGCAGATTTTCATACTCCTCCTCCAGCTGATAGATGGCAGATTTCTCACGCTAGAGGAAGACAAAAGTAAGTCATGATTTAATTTCTCTGGTAGGTTTGTATAGAAAAAGCAGCCTCAGCTCACCTCAACACAATGAGGCGTTTGCTCTATGAATGCATTTAACCTAACAGGGATCTTTTCCAGGGTGGTTTGAAGGTGAATCTCATTGGCTGGAAGTGCCCCCTCCACAATGTAAAGGTGAACCTCATTGGCTGCAAGTAACACCTCCACAATGAAAAGGTGAACCTCATTGGCTGGAAGTGCCCCCTCCACAATGTAAAGGTCTAGTGACTGTAACTTCAAGGTTCCATAGGGCAAAATAAAAATATTTAAAATACAATATAAGATTTCCTAAAGCCCTGCTGTTGCTAAAGCTTTTGAGCTGTGGTGTTGGAGGAAAATATTGAAAGTGCCATGGGCTGCCCATAGAACCAACAGATCTGTGTTGGAAAAAGTGCAGCCAGTGTGCTCCTTGGAGGCCAGGATGGTCAAACTTCATCTCTTATACTTCAGACATATTGTCAGAAGGGACCAGTCGCTGGAGAAGGACATCATGTTTGGTAAGGTGGAGGAAGACCCCCAGTGAGATGGATTGGCCAAGTGGTAGCATCAATGGGCTCAAGTGTGGCAACGGTAGTGAGGTTGGCCCAGGATTGGGCAGTATTTCATTCTGCTGTGCATAAGGTTGCTAGGAGTTGGTACCAACTGGATGGCACCTAATAACAAAAAAGCCCTGACGTGGCGCTGTGGGATTAATACATTGGACTGCAAGGTTGGTTTGAACCACAAAGGCAGCAGTTTAAACTCACCAGTCGCTTCTCAGAAACCCTGTACAGGGTTGTTGTGCGTCAGAACTGACTTGATAGCACTTAACAACAACAACAAAGTCCTGGCAGTGTAATGGTTACACTTTGAGCTTCTAATCGAAAGGTAAGTAATTTGAATCCACAGTTGCTCCGCAAGATAAAGATGAGGTTTTCTGCTCTCTGAAGATTTACTGCCTTGGAAACCCTATACAGGGTCATTATGAGTCAGAACTGACTCGATGGCACACAACCACCACCACCAAAACTTAAGAGAAGTAAGGGAAAAATTGTCTGGGTACTTAAAAAACCACACCTCTGACTTATGGCAACCTGTGTGTTACAGAGTAGAACCACCCACAGAGTTGTCTCAGGGAAGCACACCAACAGGCCTTTCTTCTGCAGTGCTGGTGGGTAGGTTCAAACTGCCAAACTTTCAGTTAGTAAGCTGAGCACAAACATTTGTGCCAGCCAGGGTACTCAGAGAGGCAAAATTACGGCCAAGAAATCTGGAAGAACTGAGGATGAATGGCTTTGGTCTAAGTTAAAAAGAAGGTATTGATTTCAAAGCATGGGGGTACGACTAACAACAACAAAAAAAGTGCAGCGATCTGGAGGAATAACAATTAAGATGAGGCTACTGATTTATGCTGTAATTCTCTTAGACCCACCTTCAAATCTGCCTGTTTTTTTTGTTTTTGTTTTTTTTTTTAATGTAAATGGTAAGCTGATTTACTTTAGTTAAAGTACATTTTAATTGCCAACGTCCCAAAACTATATGATTATCCTGTTTTCCCTGTTTGGGGAGATGCTCTGCTTTCTGCAGAAACAGAATAGCAATGCCTACAGGAAGACCCCCAACGAGATGGATCAGCCAGGTGGCATCATTGATGAACTCAAGTGTGGCAGTGGTGGTAGGGTTGGCCCAGGATCGGACATTGTTTCGTTCTGCTGGGCATGGGGTCGCTATGAGTCGGTTCTGACTCGATGGTACCTGACAACAACAACAACATTCTTTATTTACAAACATCCTATCAAGAAGAGTGTACGCTTGAATCTTCTGTTTAACTCGGCTAGTATCAGCAATCTACCTTGCGTCCGTTCCATCCCACTTCCCCATTTATGAAATGAGGCTTCAAAATATTTACAGAATCTTGGGATAGAAGGAATAAATAAGTGTTTCAGACAAAATTGCCTGGAATAAAGAATAGTTACGCTACATTTGAAAGGCTCTGAAATGAAACCTGTTATTTACCAGGTCAGCTTTGATTTTGTCCAGCTGCCAGCGATAGTCCCCGATGGCATTGTGAATGCCCCTGTGGCTGTTGATGTGCTGCTCCACCGATGACAGGTCCACACCCCAGGTCACCACGTCCATCTCGGTCTGTGGAGCAGGGAGAGAGAGAGCACACTTAGACGACCGCTCCTTTGCATCTGGCTCACCTCATCTAGTGCCTCAGATGGTCAAAGCTCCTAGACCATGCATAGTTCTGATGCTGATAAAACTTCAGATGTAGATACTCAGCAGTATTGAAGCCAAGATTATTTTAAAAAGGTTCTGGATTCCCAAACAGCCAATGGGAGTTGCTACTAAGTATTCTCCTAAACTTGTTTAACCCCAGTCCAAGTTGGTCTGGAAATTTGGAAACTGCATCCTTAAAGTCTAGAGAATGTCCTCTGAAAAAAGAAAAAAAGAAAATCTAGCTATGCAAATGCAAGTATGCATGTACACAGATATATGTATATTACATATATGCTGCTCTAAATAAGTGCTGTACAGTCGGTTCTGAGTCATTACAACCCTGCATAAGGTTTCCGAGGAACAGTTGGTGGGTTTGAACCTCTGACTTTGAGGTTAGAAGTGTTTATCTTACAGTGCCACACCAGGACACATATATATATGCATTGATATTATAAAAACAATAGTGGGGCTTTCTTAAGGCATTTAAATATATACTTCAAAAATAATTCATTAAGTTCAATCCTGCCCTATTTCCAAAGCAAAATAACAAACCTAAAAGCACTTTTCTTTTTATCTCAAGTTACTATTTTATTTTTCATTGTAGCAATATATCAAAAATTGTGATTAATGCAATTGTTGATTCTTTAAAATTTAGCATTTATGAAATGTGACAGAATCCCTCTTTTTAGGAGACTAATACCATTGTGGTAGCATAGTAGTTACAAGTCAGGCTGCTAGCGTCAAGGTCAGCCTTTCGAAACTACCAGCTGTTCTGCGGGAGAAAGATGAGGCTTTCTGTTCCTGTAAAGATGTACAGCCTGGGAAACCCTGCACAAAGTCACTATGAGTCAGAACTGCCTCCACGGCACACCACCATCACCAATAGCATTGTTATTCATTATGACCATTCTGTGAGGCATAATGCAAAAATTTCTGTCTCCTTTCAAAGAGAAATTACTATATGAAGGGGGCTTCAAAACATTTGTGGAAAAATGGAATTATAAGATAACGGATCCCATGTAAACTATCACTCAATTCACAATAAAACTTCAAAAAATAAAAAATAAATTAAAGATAATGGAACTTTTTGAAACTCCCTTGTACATATTTAATGTCTTTTCAGTCAATGTTTGTAATATTAACATTGTGGGTTTGTGTTAACTTTTATTTATTATTAGGGTGTGGCGTTGTGGGTTAATGCACTGGACTGCAAAGTTGGTTTGAACCGCAAGGTTGACGGTTCAAGCTCACCCGCTGCTCCTCAGAAACCCTATACAGAGTCGCTATGGGTTGGAACCAACACAATGGCACTTAACAAGAACAACAACAACAACAACAATCAGACTGAAGTTATCATTTGAGTCTCTAGTACTTCAAATTCAAGGATGCCCCATAATATAAATCAAATACATTATACCACAAATTTTGTATTGTGGCAAATCTATTATTCTACCTTTCTTTTATAAGCACATGTACATTTCCAAGGACAAGCATTCCAGTGTGGTAATGCAGTAAGAACATAATACACATTGTTCTGAGCCACAACCATGACTTGGCAAGCCTTCAGAAAGGGGAGTCATTTCAGGACCTGACAAGTAGGAGTCACCAGGGACTTTGACCTTTTTCTCTAGTGTTCATCTACAAAGCTTTACAACAGAAACAACCAGGTGAGTGCCAGGGGAGGAATGGCTTCAGTTCACGTCCCTCATTACCAGTCTAGTGGATAGAATCTGACCCTCCCATCAGCAGAAGCACAAATCAAGGACACAAAACAAAACCCTGGTAAAGGAGCCTGTGTGCTTGTCTGTAGATTGTGCAGCTGGGGAAATGGCCCCCTTATCAGCAGGATTAGGCTTCTCAGTCTCCTGGGAGTAAAATAAAGAATGCAGGCCAGGCTCAGGGGGAAGAAGAGATAAGAGGAAAAGGGCTGGGGAAAATCTTGGAGCAAACCAGTTGTTGTTGTTGTTGTTAAGTGCCTTCGAGTCGATTACAACCCATAGCGACCCTGTATAGGGTTTCCAAGGAGCAGCTGGTGAGATTGAACCACTGACTTTGCAGTTCAAACAACTTTGCAGTCTGATGCATTAACCCACAGCGCCACACCAGAGCAAACCAGTAGTAAGTGATAAAATAGCTTTTAGTACATTGGAAACCTTGGGGCTGCCTGAGCTAAAAGGCTCTGATTCTTATCAATTTTGCCTATTAAAACAACAACAACAGAATACTGCCATGCTATCACAGCAAGTCCATCTGAGAATACCATTTTCTGAAATTTAAACATGCTGAACCTTTGCTAAAATTTATGCTTACAAGGCTAAACCAATATGAATACAGAAAATGACAAATTAGGAACTTCCATTTTATGTAACTGTTCATTACTGACTAAGAAGAAATTAGGGACTATGATACTCCTTTATAGCTAATTGAGTTCAAAGGTTGTTTCACCTAACACTGTTGATGCTTTAGATGGTAGTTCAAATCCCAGCAGCTCTGCAGGTCTTCCTCTAAAAGCTCCACTCCACAGTGACCAGAGCACCACACACTCCCATTCCAAATGAAACAAGATTCCATCATGGCTTTCATATGCCCATGACTCATGTTGCTCTGGATAGAAATTTGGGATTTGGGGTGTATGTGTTTTATTGTCATCAAAAATTTATATTATCATAAAAATTTTTGTCATAAAAAATTTATATTATAAATTTTGAGGAATATGGAGCATAATTTCTTGAACCCTCAGTTGCTGGCACAGTGGTAATATATTTAAGATGCTCATGAAATATGTATTCAAAGATTAGAAGGGAATCTGAAAACATATCAACAGGTTTGTATTGAGGTTTCAGACATTACAATGGGCTTTGCTCCTCTATAAGCCCCATCTTCTGTAAGCAGTAATTTTACAGTCCATTCCAATTTATAGTGACCTCATGTGTGTCAGAGTAGAACTGTACTCCATAGAGTTTTTCAATGGCCGATTTGTCAGGACTAGACTGCCAGGTCTTTCTTCTGAGGGACCTCTGAGTAAATCTGAGCCTCAACCTTTCAGGTTGTTGTTGTTGTTGTTATGTGCCGTCGAGTCGGTTCCGACCCATAGCAACCCTGTACAGGGTTTCCGAGGGTGTAAATCTTTACGGGAGTAAAAAGCCTTATCTTTCTCCTGTGGAGCAGCTGGTAGTTTCGAACCGCTGACCTTAAGGTTCGCAGCCCGATTCGTAACCACTACGCTACCAGAGCTCCTTCAGAAGCAGAGTATGTTAACAGTTTGCACTGCCTATGGTCTCCAAAATGGTATTAGATAATTTTGATACTAAATGGGAGAAAATATTAACAAAATCAGTGAATGATAGTCATATAGACCCTCACTACTTAGGGAAGAGCACAGACAAGAATGCTGACGTGGTGAGAGACTGCAGAACTACTGCAGAATTGATCCAACAGCAACTGGCAAAGCTAAGCTTTCTAAAACCACAGCTGCCATAACTATGCACCTGAGTTATCCACCTTCTCAAGAGACAGATGGGTCATGAGGAGCAGGGCAGGTTTTCATTATAAAATTACTATCTACTTGATTATGGCATACTTCAACTGCCACCTGGTCATTAGAACACCTAATTACTACAGAAAACAACAATTAGGATTCAAAAATACACTGTAGAAACTCTAGTTCTAGGGAAAGGACCAGCACATACCTCCGTGGCGATTATTTTACTTCACTCCCACACCAGTGACGTCATGTTTGCACAACCAGACAACTGACACTTCAAAAATATAAGGTAGCCAAGCCTGGGAGCCCAAACCAGAATATCCAGTTTTACTGTGTTTCCAGCTCCTCCAACTTGGTAACATTCTAAATAAACCTCCACAATGTTCTCTTTTTAAAAAGTGCCTGTACAAATGAGGTTAGTTATACCTTAAGTCAAACAATCACGTTTGTTAGTGCATAAACTCTCAGAACAAGTTTTCCAGGTCTGAACAACCAGATGTTTAAAACTCATTCATTGCATGTGTGATCAAGTATGACAATACAGCAATGAGGTGAATTCCTTAAGACACACGTAAAAATAAGCCGAATTAATGGTCAAACTAAGTAGATGTGAGTAGGGGCTAATACGACTTCACTTCTGGACAAACAGAAAGGCAGGTTTGCTAGTACCACACGAGGAAAGGTTGTAATGGGAATAAGCTGCATTATTTCTGACAGACGGCTTGAAAAATTGATACTCTGACTTCTTTACTCGAAAGTTAAGACACCTGACAACAAAGATGGTGGCGGAGGCAATGGCATTGAGAGACAGAGCAGCAGAGGACTCTAGGCCCATGGACTGAGAAAGGCAGTGTGCCTGTGGGCAGGAGGCTGGCTTGCAAAATGTGTCCTTTGGACATTTAAACAAATATATATTTTCAATGTGGTGTGTGTACACAAAACCTTTTTAAAAAGGTAATAGAGGTCAATACTATTAGCTGATGGTACATGGAAGGGATTGTAATCATTGCAATGATTTGTTAAGTGTAAAACTGATGATCTGCCCTGTAAACCTTCACTCAATTCACGACAACAGCTTTTAAAAAGTAAAAAGGGAAATAATAATAATAAAGTCAAGACACCTGAGCATTTCCAGTTGCCAGCGAGCCAACCCCACCTCATGGCAGGCCCATGTGTGTCAGAGTAAACTGTGCTGTCTGTTCTCAATGGATAATTTTTTTAGAAGTAGATCATAAGGCTTTACTCTTAAGGAGCCTCTGGGTACACTTAAGCCTCTAACCTCTGCTTAGCACGCTAGTACATCCACGATTTGCACCACCCAGGGACAAGTGAGGAACCCAGGAACATCTTCAGGACATTTCATTTTCCGTATCACAAATTGTATACATTCAGGTTTTACAGTGCTCGGGTTTATAATGCAAAGTACCAGATGAGAGGGCTTCCAAAATTTCGTGGCAAAAGTTCCACAATCTTTCACTTAAAGTTTTACAGGAACTTTTTTTAAAGCCCACTCCCTCATAGATTAGAGTTTGGCATCTAAAGTATGTATGGAAACCATTGTCTGTGGTTCATTTATTTCAAATTAGAAACTCATTTTTCAATTATAAATGAGGAGTCCTTTAAAAAACAGCATGTGTCTGGTGCTAACCTGAGGTCCCTCTTTGTGACCAGCACATTGGGACTGACCTGTCACATTCTACACAGCTGGTCCATGGTGTGTTTGAGAACCAACATTTGTCCTTCCAAAACTGCTTACCCTTTGCTGTCTCATCCAGCCCAGACATTCACTGGTGAGGCGCTTGGTGAATTCGTCCCAGCCTGAGCCGCTCTGGCAAGTGTATCCTCCTCCACCCTTGGAGCTGGCCCTTCGGACTCGGGGAGCGCTGATGGCTTTGTAAAGGGCACGCATTTGCTCCTGAAGTTGAAGCAGTCTGCAAGAGAAGACACACAATTACACCTTTGCCGCAAAACCTCATATGAAAGCATGCTCTGGGCAAAGGTCCCCTTGTCTGAGACCCCCTTGAGTCACTCTGAAGACTTCCTACCATGTGGCAAAAGAATCTTGATGATGCACACACACACACAAAAATAAACTTGATGATGATGCTCAAAGCCTGAAACATCCCACTAAGTTTAAGCATCTCTGCCTAACCTGCTAGCCAGCACCTTTCTCTTTCTCATCAGTTTCATTCTGGGCACCATAAAAACAAAATCATCCCCAAACATCCCTGGTTTAAACTCCTGTGTTTCCATAGGAACCTCATTTTTCTAACCATTAAATTAAGCTTGACTTCACATTAGACCCTTGAATGTCAAATGCCTGTACTAGCCTCTACATGAGTTCACATCCCTTAGTATAAACTTCTCTCCAAACAAACTTAGCACGTCAAAATAAGTATAAATTTTTGAATGTCCATCCCCGCCCCTGCTTTAGGACAGGTATGTTTGATTTTTGTTTGTTTGTTTGTTTGCATGGCAGCTTTGTGATCTCACAAAATACGGAGGTGGTGATTTTGGTTGATTTGTATCAGAGATGCATAAAGTTACAAAATCACCAGTAGGCGAGACTTTCCTTGGGAATTTTTGTGCTTTGTTCTAAGGAAGAGTTAAGTAGAACTAGGTTTGCTACATTGTTCCTTGTGAGGTAAGCCTGTACACACAATACCTTTTCTGATAAGCATCGCAGGGCTGGCCCATTTGCCGCATCTCTCGGATCAAGCTATCTGTGATTTCCATCTGGTCATTGGCCTGAGCAAAGCATTCATCTAGTTCTCTGCTTCTAGCAAGCTGTATTCCATCTCCGTATTTAAGTTCCTAAAGAAAGAATTCACATGAAGAAAAACAATGATAACACTAGAAAGAAAAGATCCGTGTTCACTGATGGAAGCAAATGCTTCCATTGCAAACAGGAAAAAGATTTCAAAGTCCCCCCTTTCAACTGTGAAAATTTTCCAGCTGCAAATGATCTTATTATATTTGAAATAAGGAAGTAAATACAGAATTCAAGCACTAGAAATGTAGGGAATATATTTTACAGTTTTGTCAGGCCTTTAAAAGGATGCTTAGTGGTGGTGTGCCATGCAGTCGGTTTCAACTCATAGTGAATCTGTGTAGGGTTCCCAAGGCTGTAAATCTTTACGGGAGCAGAAAGTCTCATCTTTTTCCTGTGGAACCACTGGTAGTTTTAAACTGCTGACCTTGAGGTTAACAGCACGATTCATAACCACTGCGCTACCAGAGCTCCTTAAAAGGGTGCTTACAGAATGGTAATCTTTCCCTTGCAAAATGCTGATCATTCACACTGACAGATAACGCCTATCTAGAGTCCTGGTGTGGTGCTGTGAGCTAATGGCTGGATTGCAAAATCGGTTTAAACTATAAGGTTGGCAGTTCAAGCTCAACAGTTGCTCCTCAGAAACCCTATATAGGGTTGCTCTGGGTCAGAATCAACTCGATGGCACTTAACAACAAAAGGGAGTTTCAGTATGTAAGAATGTTTTCCCATTTAGGTCATTATACCAAACAGGGTCTTTAACACTAAAAAATGAACTGTTAATGCATCTTATGGGAACATAACTTGTTAGTTCTTGAAAAAGTAAACGTCAAAGTTTCCATCTAGTTCAATGTAGTAGGCCAATCAATTTCCTGGTTTTGAGGCTACGCTCTAGTCATCATTGTCATCATCATTGTTGGGTAAAGCCAGGTGTTGGAAACATGGGTCACCTCTGGACTATTTTTGCAACATCTTGTGATTATATATTTATTTCACAATTTTAAAAAATTAAGTATTCTATTTACATGCAAAGGCTGCTGCTTCAGTGCAACATCTGGGCTGTGCCTGGAATTCTACTTTTACTGCTTTAATCCACTTTAGGCAAATGAAGCTCATGTCTCTAAATCAGAAATGTTAGTCAATAGGATACTATGGTCCATGACATATTTTTATTGCACTTTAATCCATACAAACTGAGTACATGATGCCATGTTGATTTTTAGAACCACATGTAAAATGTATCCACAGCCACTCCAATTCGCATCCAGGGCTGGGGTATGAAGGTCCAATGTAAATGAAGGTCTCCCGGTTAGTTTTTGTAAAGAGTTATATCACTTAAAAGAGGATGTTTGAAAGCAGAGAATTCAGCCAACCAGAACTAGACCAGAGCTAGTGTGGAGCTGCAGATATTTAGAAACATGGACTAAAGTCAACTTTGTTTCTTTGTTTTTAATTGGATGAAATGAACTGGAAGGAGAACCCACACAATATCTAAAATCAGGAAACTGGAATATTAGATCGTCTCCCAACAGAGCCTATGAATTCCCTGGGTTAGAATCCCTGCTTCAATTGACCACGTGTTTTCAGGAGAGCCAGACTCCAGATTTAACTCTCCATTAACATCAGCATCAGGGAGACAAGCTCCAGTCCTTTGCTAAAAATACAATTCACTGGCTGTGGTCCCACTATTCTCTTTTCTTTTAGGCAAAATTGGAGCAGAATGGGAATGTTAGTGTTTCAGACCATGGACCCATGACCTCTAAGTCTCATTTGCTGAGATCTTAAGATAGATCAGTACTTCAAGAAATACCATGAGGTCCTATACAAATATTCCCTCAATTTTTAAGTTTATATTTTCCTACATTTACTGTTTTTTAAAAATACAGTTTTCCCCCTTGATATGGCCATTCTTCCTGGGGAAAAAAAATCTTATTTAATGAATGGTATACATCTCAACCCACCACAATGCAGTGACATGAACAAGTCAGATGGGATTTCTAGGAGAAGGAAGTATTACAAAATCAGCTCAGTAACAGTAGGTTGGTACGGTTCCAACAAGGTGGCAATTTGTAGGGTAAATATTTATTGGGGAAAAAAACAACTTTGTGTGGGGACTGGTTCCCACTGTTAAACCAACAACACAAGTAGGTTGAGAATATACACATCCTACTCCAATCTGTTTTGAAAAAGGCAGTTACTCAAGCTGGTTATGTGAATGAGGTCAGTGAACAAGGACAGATTGGTCAAGACCAGAAGAGCTTGAGCTAGCCACTGCTGACAGTCATCGCGGGGATTGGCTGGAACAAAGACACTCACAGGCTGTACGATGAGCTCGGCCCGCATCAAGCAATCTGAGCAGTTCTGCAGAAGTTCCTGGATAGTGTTCTGGTTCTGGTGCCTGGACATCGTACCAGTTTGACTAATGGAACAAACACAAAGAAAACCCGACATGAAACCACTGTTTTCCAACTCTGAAATAATTTCACACTTTTAGAAAAGTTGCAAAAATGAGATAAAAACATTCCTGTACTCATATCTTTCACTCAGATTCCTCAGTTATTAGCATTCTGCCAGGTGTCCCTCATCCCTCTCTCCCCTCTACTTATGTGTGTCCATTCATTCATGTGAATATTTATTGAACGCAGCCCTCTACCTCCAACACTGTGTATTCCCTAAGAACAAAACCACAACACAATGATCCAAAGCAAGAAATTGAGATTTGATATGATTAACTTTTAATAATCAGTGCAATAATGTCCTTCACAGAAAAACACTTTTCTGGGTTCAGGATTCAATCCAGAATTTTTTTTTAAACTTATGATGTATATTTCTATTTCTGCTTCTATATAAGTTGTTTTCAGCATCATCCTACAGCAGTCCAGAATGGGGGGCACCACACTGCCAGTACCAGCCCCTCCATGGGAGGACCTTCCACCATTATAAACAGCATGTCTGACTGAAGGAAAAAGTGGGTGAGAAAGAGAAATTTTACTCTGCAAAAATATTTTCTGCACGTGAATAACTTTCCAGTCTAGGAGTGGAGGTCCCTAGGACCATCAAGGGAGAAGAGCCAAGAGTGGGACCCTACCCAGAGAAGCAGTGATGCCTGAGATGGAGGCAGAGACAATGACATGGAGAGATGGAGCAACTGGGAACTTTAATTCCAGAGAGGGAGAGGGGCTGTGTGCTGACGACTGGGGGTGAGAGAGGGGAGTGTAGGGGCCAGGCTTGCAGGGTATACCCTTTGGTTGGTTGATGATGCATGGAGGGGATTGTAACCATGGCAATGATATGATATACAATAGAATGAATGTAAAGCTAATGTTCTCCCATGTAAACTATCATATAATTCATAATAAAACACTATAAATAAAAAAAATATATATATTTTCTGCAATCACAACAAAAGACAATAATGATAAAGAATGAGATGAGGAAAGTGATGGGAAATGTATTAAATATCTAAGCACCTTTTCCTTTCAAGATGATCCATTGTATAGATTAAATATCTTCTACACAACGGAGTCCTGGTGTGGTGCTGTAGGATAAGTATTATTAGACCACAAGGTCAGTTTAAACCACAAAGCTAGCAGTTCAAACCCACCAGCTGCTTGGAACCGACTTGTCGGCACTTAACAACAAGAACAATACAATGATATGGCACTGTCAGATAAAGCACTGGACCGCAGGTTGGTTTGACCCACAAGGGCAGTGGTTCAAACTCACCAGCTGCTCCTTGAAAACCCTGTAGAGGGTCTTAACAACAGTGTACAATGATGTTCCTCAAAATGTACATTTCAAAAGACCCACTGATGTTAAAGAAGCATGCCAGAAACCTTAAAACCACTGTGGTACTAAAGGAGAATGGTATACATTTCATAAGGTTTAATGAAAGAGATGCCTCCTACAGTTTAATTTATTCTCTGGTGCAAGTGATTCCACAAAAGAGCAATGTTTTAAGAACAGTTTGACTTTTCAAGTTGCTAAACGATGCTGCAGCACAACCTAGTATAATTTAGATTAAGACTGTGGTAAAATACATATAACCATTTTCAGCTGTACAATTCAGTAACATTAATTACATTCACCATGATGTGCAACCATCAAAACTAGCCGATTCCAAAAGTTTAAATCACCCCACAGAGAAACAGTGGTTAAGGCTGCTAACAAAACGAAGGAACCGACCAGCTGCCCCATGGGAAAAACAAATAGCAATCAGCTTCCGTAAAGGTTACAACCTTGGAAATCTTTCCGGAACAGTTCTACTCTATGCTATAGGATCACTATGAGGTGGAATCAACTCAACAGCAATTTGTAAACAAAACCTCAGTAATTAAGAGAGAGAGATTTAAAACATATCTAATAATTACTTAATGCTCAGGAAAAAGTCCTTTCTAATGTGTTTCAAGAAGACTGAGTGCCTCTCGCTTCTTCAGAGCCATCTGGTCTTTCCCTGGGGCCATCCTGGCGGGCTTTAATCTGATGTTCTAGACTTTCTCGTCTGTGTGAGCCTGCATGTGCATTTAAAGCAAGAACTCTACTGATTAAATAAACAAGGTGTGAAAACAATGACTGTGTTTGTGCATTGATGGAGTAAGAACACAAGAATATGTGTTCTGCATCCTACCAGAGGGAAGGGCTGACTTTCTTTTTCTGCCACCTATTTAGGGTTCCTCCCTGCAAAGCAAGCTCCCCAACATGCCAGCACTAGCTGATCATGGATGGGTGAGGAGCCACTCCCCACAATGATACCCGGCCCTCCAGTCAAGCCCAGGCAATGTATTCCCAAACTGTCCACCTATTAAAACCGGGAAGCCCAGCCCTCCCACCCTGTCCCTCCCACATTGACCAGTGAGTTTTTCTTCCACTCAGTAATACAAGAAACCTGGCATACGTCTCAAACTGGTTATGTCAACCAGACCACATCTGTTGTTCTAACTTGTGCAAAATTCCAATTGACTTAGAATCGGAACGCTTTCCAAAAAGAACCTATTATAAAATAGAGGAAAGAAATTAAAGAGACAAAGAAAATTAATTAGGAAAAGCAGAACCTCATTTTGAATCCTATGTGGAGAAGGAATTTGAAGGGCAGTGGCCTGTTAACCGAAAGGCTGACAGTTCAAACCCAGGGGAGAAAGATGAAGCTATCTGCTCCTATAAAGATCTACAGTCTCAGAAACCCTATATAGGGTCACTTGAGTCAGAATTGACTCGATGGCTGTGGATTTGTTTGATTTTTAGTTCTACAATGATATTTGCCAAAACGTTTCCTTTAGAAATGACAGTACTTAGAAATTGTTTGGCAATTTGGTTGAGGGTGATACCCATGAAAAATGCTAGTCCCAAGCATAGAATGAAAGGGCTATTTCTTGCCACAATGAAAAGCCAGTGTTTCTTAATGACTTAATAATAATATGTACTGTTATAAAAACTATCACACGTTGAGCTACCAAACAGAGGCAGGTAGAAGAAACTGAGTAAAAGGGCATATTGGGACTCTCTCTATACTATTTGTGCACCTTCTGTATAAATCTAAAATTATTCTAAAATAAAAACATATAAAGCAAAACAACAACAAAAAAAATACAAACAGGGAGACCAAATTCAATTGTGAATGAATATACCAAAGAGTACATGGTAAGTCTTTCAAAAATGAATCTATGACCCCAAATTTATTTGACCACAAAATATAACTCACCAGCTTCTTTGTACACTATCACTTTCTAGTCACATAACACTTCAAGATGAAATGCAGCCAGAACAAAGGGAGGTGAGATAATTAGCATCGGCTTCACACAACTAATTATTTTAAATTAGATTTTCTCCATTTTTGTTTTGGCCCCTCTCAGATTTAAAAGACATTCCTACTTCTAAAGAGTGGTTTGCATTTTGAATAAGCAAACATTTGAACTTAAAAAGAGAAAAAAGGTCGTTTCATATGTTGTTAATAATTATTAGGAAACAGCTCTTACTGCTTTGCACATATTACCACATGTCCTTATATCCACTAAAACCCTTTATTTGGCATTTTAATAGATTGATAATGTGGCAAAAAAATGGAGAAAAATTTAACTATCAAAACCATTTGTTTTCAAATTTTTTCTTTATGTCAAACAGAAAATCTCTACTCAGAAAACAATTAATTCCTCATCTCTATCTCCTCTACTACCTGGTAACCACTAATCTACTTTCTTTGCCTATTCTAGTGAAATCTCATTTTTTTAAGTCTGAAAATATAAAAAGCTAAAGTGTTGAAACAATGAAATTTAAAAATTTTAGTATTTCTATTTATTAATAGGAAAATATGATCTGACTAAGTAAGTTTCTTCTTATACATCACTTTTCACCACTGTGTCTGGTCTTTAGAGTAAGGCTTATGTTTTCTTTTATCCATAAGAATCCCACTTCAGTGTGAGGTGCAGCCAAAAATACCATTTAAAAATAAACCTAGAGGAGAAAGCGTGTGAGTGGCTTAGCCCACTTGCAATTGAGGGTTATTGTTGTTGTTATTGTTAAGTGCCTTATAGTTGATTCCAACTCATAGCAACCCTCTTTAAAGTTTCCTAGAGCAGCTGGTAGGTCTGAACTGCTGGCCTAGTCTTTAGCAGTCTAGTGCTTATCCTACAGCGACACACCAGGACTCCAATTGAGGGTTACTGGCTTAGGAAAAGAGAATCCATTTTTAATATCAGTTTGTTTTTCTTAGCTTCATGAAGAATGTACCCAGAATGATTGTACTAATCAAGGAGGAAGTACAGATAGAAAGGATTAGGATCCAGGTAAATCCAGATACTCCCCAGCTGTACAAAACTGGATTGTTCAGCTGTAAACCATGAGAGCTTGCTTCAGGAGAGAGGCTTCTGGAAATAAAAAATATTTTAATTTTTTTAAATTGGCTGTAATTTGAAACTTTGTAAGATCATTGTTGTTGTTAAGTGCCCTCGAGACAGTTCTGACCCATAGCGACCCTGTATAGGATTTCCGAGGAGCAGCAGGTGAATACGAACCGCGTACCTCGCAGTTCAAACCAACCTTGCAGTCGAGCGCTTATCCTATAGCACCAAACCACGACTCCTTGTAAGATTTGTTGTTGTTGTTAGGTGCCATCGAGCCAGCACTGACTCATAGCGACCTTATTATGCACAGCAGAACGAAACACTGAGATCATATTTTTTTTATTGATTACATAATAGTTTTCTTTCTTTTTATCCCAGAAGTTTTCTAGACGTATCGTCTCATCTGCTGGGCTAGATGATATGGAAGAGTCCTTTCACTCACTCATTCTGTGACTCTACTTTATGAAACGGCCATTCAATGGCATTTTTCCCGTTGAAAATCATACAAAAGGCTAATGGTAATTTAGTTTCCTCTTCAATTCATATAGTGCACTTCACGAGGGAGAACGTAAAATTCTATCAT